CAGATGCATGGTTTGCAAATATTTTTCTCCCATTCTGTAGGGTGCCATTTTATTCTGTTGATTATTTCCGTGGCTGTGTAGAAAGTTTTTAGTTTGATAGAGTCCCCCTTGTCTACTTTTGCTTTTATTACTGTGGATTTGGTGTTACACCCAAGAAACCATTGCCAAGACCAATGCTATAAAACTTTTCCTCTATGTTTTCTTCTAGCAATTTTAGTTTCAGGTTTAAATCTTTAATCCATTTTGAGTTGATTTTATGTATGATATAAAAGTCCAATTTATTCTTTTGCATATGAACATCCAGTTTTCTCAATGCCGTTTGTTGAAGAGAATATCCTTTCCCCATTGTGTAGTCTTGACACCTTTGTCAAACATCATTTAACCATATACATGTGGGTTTACTTTAGGGTTCTTCATTCTGTTTCATTTGTCTTCATATCTGTCTTTATTCCAAGGCCATAATGTTTTCATTTTTGCAAATTTGTAATATGTTTTGAAATAAGGAAATTGTGGGGGGGAGGGTATTTTGGGTTCTTTGCGGTTCCATATGAATTTTATAATTTCTATTTCTGTAAAAACATCATTGATACTTTGATAGGGATTGCATCGAATCTATAAATCACTTAGGTAGTATATGGACATTTTAACAATATTACATATTCCCATTCATGAACATGGCATGTTGTGATATTTATTTATGTCTTTTTACTTTTCTTTCAGCAAATGTTTTTTGGTTTTCAGTATACCAGTCTTTCACGTCTTGATTAAGTTTATTCATAAATATTTTATTTCTTTTGATGTTATTGTAAATGTTACTGTCTTCTTTCTTTTTTAAATTTTTTTATTTCAATAGCTGTAGTAATTCAAGTGGTTTTTGGTTACATGGATGAATGGTATAGTGGTAAAGTCTATGGTTTTGGTGCACCTGTCACCCAAGTAGTGTACATTTTACTCTATAGTTAGTTTTTATCCCTCGCCCTCTCCCACTCCTTCCCCTTCTGACACTCCATTTTTTTATACCAGTTTGTATGTTTGTGCATACTCATAGCTTAGCTCACACTTATAAGTGAGCATATGTGGTATTTGGTTTTTCATTCCTGAATTACTTCACTTAGAATAATGGTCTCCGGTTTCATCCAGGTTGCTGCAAAACACATTCTTTCTTTTTTTTTTTAATGGCTGAGTAGTATTCCATGGTGTATGTATATACGTGTATATATACATACCACCTTTTCTTTACACAGTCATAGGTTGATGTGCATTTAGATTGACTTCATATCTTTGCAATTGTGAATTGTGCTGCAGTAAACATGTGTGTGCAGGTGTCTTTTTGATATAGTGATTTATTTTCATTTGGGTAGATACCCAGCAGTGGAATTGCTGGATTGAATGGTAGATTACTTTTAGTTCTTACTAAGTTTCTCCATACTGTTTTCCATAGAGGTTGTATTAATTTACATTCCCACCAGCATGTGTAAGTCTTCCTTTTCAACACATCTATGCCAACATATATTGTTTTTTGACTTTTAATGGTGGCCATTCTGGTTGGTGTAAGATGGTATGTTGCTGTAGTTTTTAATTCTATTTGAGATTGTTTTCATAATTTCCTTTTCAGAATTTTCATTGTTTGTGAATAGAAACTCAATTCATTTTTGTATATCTATACAATTTTTGACATTAAAATGTTTTGAGACATAGAATTTAGAGAAGAAAATAAGAAATTGCAAAGATTAGGTGGGAGATGTAGAGGAAGATTAGTTTTGGTACAGATGTGCGAGTCTAACAGGTCATATAAGCTGCACTGTCATGGGTAATCAGGTTTAGGCCTTCAACAATGAGTTTGTTCATCTTCCCTGGGTACCTGCTGTCTACTACTATGTGACAGGTAGGACTATGTGTATTCAAAACACAATGGTGAAAATTCTAAGGAAAAGAGGTAAGATGAAGTGTTTGAATCTCTCATGGACTTGAGGTAGTTGTAGTAGAGCCAAAATAAAGTATAAGGCAATAGCAAGTTTCAAGAAGAGTCAGGTCAACACTGCCATGTTATGAAGATGCACAGGGCAAATTAAGGGAGCATGGCCATGGTGTTAGTGATGAGGCAGGCATTGGCGGCATTTAAAAAAGCAGTTTCATTGGACTTATTTTGGGTAAAAAGCTGTGTTACAGAAGTTGGGACAGTTAAATAAAATGACAGGAAATAAATGGAGAACTGAGCCAGCATCAGATTAAGACCTCTAGCACCTGTAAACATTTGAAAGTCTATAGAACTCACTCTCTTAAAGATTATTCTGAATAAAATTTTAGTTTTCAAAACGATGTATTTACGTGTTTTCTGGAGTTAAAATAGCTTTCTTGTACGTCATCTAATGGCACAATTATGCATAAGCACATTGTGACTGACTTTGATATTTTTGTGCCTTTGCTTTGCTGATGTCATGTGACTCAGTGCTCAGCATGCTTGCAGTGCTCCAGCACCCATAGAGACCTACTTCAGGGAACTAGACTTTGAAGGAGAGGAAGAAGGTAGATTGAAAGTGAGTTGGAAAGCCAGGACTGAGGGATTTAGGGGAGGAAGGGCAAGGTGTTATTCTGTTTTATATTGGGAGAATGCTCCAGAATATCCACATGTTGAAGAAATGCAACTCGTAAAAATAAAACACTCTGGCCAGGAAGAGTGCCTCATGCCTGTAATCCCAGCACTGGGGAGGCAGAAGCAGGAAGATCACTTGAGGCCAGAAGTTCAGGACCAGCCTGGGCAACATAACAAGCCCTTATTTCTACAAATAATAATTTTTAAAAATTAGCTGAGCATGCTGGTGTGTGCCTTTAGTCCCAGCTAGCTTGGAGGCTGAGGTGGGAGAATCTTGGGAGCCCAGGATTTTGAGGCTGCAGTGAGCCATGATCACGCCACTGCACTCCAGCCTGGGAAGACCTTATCGCAAAGAAAGAAAAAAGAAAAAAAATACATTTGGATATACATAGGAGAAGGCACAATTGATGAAGCAAAGTTTGCTGAAGAGTTGGAAAAGATAAAAGTGGGAGCATTGATGAAAGAATTAGCATCAGGCATGAGGACAGCACCCTCTCCCTAGGAAGTACAGTGGCGACCCTGTACTTTCTCCATATCTTTGCCAATGAGGTATCCACCCAGAATATATGTTTAAGGCAAATCAACATAATATAACAATACAGAGCATCCAGTGGTTTTAGCAAGTATGTGTTCCAGGTAAGCTCATATAGGTATGGTTTGTGTAAACTGTGAAACAAACACATAAACATATATTCATTTTTTTTAAGCAAAACACATTATGTTTTGAGGCATTTGCTCAGAGAAATCAGTTGAACTAGACTTTATGTTCACTTAGAAAATTTAAAATAATAGCTTGCAATTTTCTTAATGCTTGCCATGTGTATTAGTCTGTTGTCATGCTGCTAATAAAATCATACTTTAGACTGACAAAGACAAAGAGATAATGGACTCACAATTCCATCTGGCTGGGGAGGCTGCACAATCATGGCAGAATGTGAAGGAGGAACAAAGGCATGTCTTACACGGAGGCAGGCAAAGGAGTGTGTGTAGGGGAACTGCCCTTTATAAAACCACCCGATCTTGTGAGACTTATTCACTATCATGGGAATTGTACGGGCAAAAACTGCCCCCATGATTCTGTTACCTCCCACTGGATCCCTCCTATGATACATGGGGATTGTGGGGGCTATAATTCAAGATGAGATTTGGGTGGGGACACAGCCAAACCATATTACTGTTTACCAGATACTCTGCCAAGTACTCTACAATTATCATCTCATTTAATTTTTATCACAAGACTTATGGACTAGGTATATTGTCAAGGGTCATGTAGCCGGAAAGTAAACCGTTAATTGTAAGGCTCCCGCTCTTACCCATAGTAGCATACTGTTTACTCATTTACTATGTAAAAAGTAGGATTTGGCCGGGCACGGTGGCTCAAGCCTGTAATCCCAGCACTTTGGGAGGCCGAGGCGGGTGGATCACGAGGTCAAGAGATCGAGACCATCCTGGTCAACATGGTGAGACCCCGTCTTTACTGAAAATACAAAAAATTAGCTGGGCATATGGTGGTGCATGCCTCTAATTCCAGCTACTCAGGAGGCTGAGGCAGGAGAATTGCCTGAACCCAGGAGGCAGAGGTTGCGGTGAGCCGAGATCGCGCCATTGCACTCCAGCCTGGGTAACAAGAGCGAAACTCCGTCTCAAAAAAAAAAAAAAGTAGGATTCAACATAACAGAAATAGTTACTATAACCAGTTCTGTAATCATTAGACCACAAGGCAGAGGACCAATGTAAATTAAGAAAGACTTGATTATACATGATCAAAACTCAGTAACTAACCTGTGGATGTTGATGGGATGCTCTATAAGCAACTGATATGGATCAATTTAAAAAGTGATTTTTTTGTGGTAAGTAACAAGCATAATAATGAAGTGATATTTATCACAAGAATATCTGCTAAAATTCATGAAGAAGAATGTTGAAAAGGGCTATGCAAAAACTCAAAAGCATATAGATGATGTCATTACCCAGTACCCTGTACACCCTGAGGCTCTCTCTGCCGGAACTGCTCTCTCCTTGTCTGTTTCCTCTTGGTCTGCCTCTCTAATGTTTCCTGTCTTGTGTGGCCACTTAAAGGCCATGTATTCTAGAGTTGTATTCCATTGTGTCTGCCACTGTTTATAGTAAACTCTGAAATCCATACACCTCTTGCGTGGATATACCTGAATAGAGGAGTGATTTCCATTCAGCCTAAAGCTTGGAAGCCTATTATGTATAATTTTATTCAGGCATGTGCCATTTCTGGAAAGGAATGCCTACTGTTTTTATTTTCATTTTACAGTTGAGGAAACTGAATCAGAGTGACTTTTTCCCCCAAGGTCTGACCCAGAATAACTAGTATTGATGCGGCTTAAATTCCTGTTTACTAATAACAAAGTCAAGGCCTTCTATGGGATAATATTACCTGGATATCGCATTCTTCCAGGACAGCTTGGTGGCACAATGTAGTTTGCTTTGTTGATCTCATTCATTCAGATAGTAATTCCTGAGTTTGACAGGTAAAGATGCTGAGCTGTGAAGAGTGATGGAAGCAATGTGTGTGTATCAGTAAGGGCACAGATGGCTGCTGAAAATTATTAAATCAAGGTGCCAGGGATATGAAGAATCATACACTGAGTGTGCCTGTTCTGGCTATTCTTAAACATTAGAAACTTATGATGAATATATGAATGTATGACACCCCTTGATCTTATTTGTTCTACTATCATATTACCATAAAATACTCCTGGAGTCTGACTTACCATAAAATCTCAATAGATTCCAGTGTTATAGAATACATATAGAAAAATATTATTAATGTAAAACCACAATGACACAATAAAACATCACTAATATAATAGAAAATTTCTTTGGGTTGTAAAAGAGCCCATTAAAGCATTTTGACTATGCTTTCTGTTGCTATGTTTTTACTTTATTTTTCTACAATTACAAAGAAAAGAAACTACTATTACCACCTGCTTTAGAGGCTAGAAGACAAATGTGTGACAGATTTTATTCTTTTTTTCCCACATGCAACGTGCCAGTTTTATATGACTTCTGTAGATGATTGCATTGTTGTTAAAACTCTTTCTTATAAACCATTGCATAATTCTCACACCATACAAAAATGTTAATTCAAGAGAAATGAAAGCACTAATATTACCCAGTGCATAAACTTCTTAGTTGATCTCTTTTTATTCATTTAAGCAAAGTCAAGTGTTTTTTTTTTTTTTAACTTATGATTAGGTATATGATTAATAAGTCAGTCACACAGTTCTTCAAAGGCCCATAGAGAAACATTCCTTTATGTTGAAGGTGATGCATTAATTATATGTATCTCTTGCCTTCCATCTGAAGCAGCTATGTGGATATCGATTTTAGACCCTTAGGCTTCAATTAAAATATTCAGTATTCAATACATATTTATTGAAGCAATTTTAAGGTGAGAAAGTCCCTTTTAATGTATTTCTATAAATAGAGGGGCAAAATGCATCAGCTCAGTTATTAATTGGTAAACCACAAGGTAGTTAATTCTATGAGATTCATTTTTTCCACAAGAACAGCCTAATAATTTGTTCAGAGCTGAGTTTTAGTAATTGTTATGACCTTATATTAGGCAAAGATTCTCAGATATGACACTAAAATCACAATCCATTGAGGAAAGATGACTAAATCTGACTTCAGACTTTGAGGAGTAAGATAAGTAACAGACAGGAATAACCTATTTGTAAATCATTTATCTGATACATGATTTGTATCAAGAATATCTAAAGAAATGTCATAACAATAAAAAAACTAAAATACTCAATTTAAAAATTGGGGGAGAAAGGAAATGGAGAGTGACTGTTACTAGGTACATGGTATTTTGGGGGAGATAACATGTTCTGAAAATAGATTATGGCAATGGTTGCACTAGTATGCAAATGAGTTGCACACTTAATGAATGAACTGAATCTTATGTAAATAACATTTCAATAAATTGTTAGAAATGGGCAAAATATTTGAATAGACCTTTCACCAAAAAGGTACAAGAATGATGAATAAATATGAAAAGATATTCGACACATTAGTCATTAGAAAATTGCAAATTAAAACTGCAATAAAATAACACTTTATATTCATCTTAACAACCATTGACAAGCATGTGGAAAAAATGAAATTCTGAAACATTACTTTTGAAAATGTCAAATGGTGCAACTATTTAGTAAAATAATTTAACATTTTTTTAAAAGTTAAATATGAGGCCGAGCGTGGAGGCTCAGGCCTGTAATTCTAACACTTTAGGAGGCAGAAGTGGGTGGATCACTTGAGCCCAGGAGTTTGAGACCAACCTGGGCAAAATGATGAAACCCTGTCTCTACAAAAAATACAAAAATTATACTGGCATGTGTAGTCTCAGCTACTTGAGAGGCTGAGGCAGAGGGATTGCTTCAGCCAGGAGGTCAAGACTGCAGTGAGCTGTGATTGTGCCACTGCAATGTAGCCTGGGTGACAGAGCAAGATCCTGTCTCAGAAAAAAAAAAGGGGTTAAATATGAACATATTATACAACCTATTGATTCCATCCTAGGTATGTGCCCAAGAGAAATTCAAACATGTGTTCACCAAAAACTTGCATGTGAATGTTCATAGCAGCATTATTCCTAGTAGACAAAAAGTGAGAATAAAAATTCCCATTAACTGATGAATGGATTTATAAAATAATGTAACTTAAATACTGATGCATGCTAAAACATGAGTGAACCTCAGAACATTGTGGTAAGTGAAAATAAAACCAGGCCCTAAAAGAGTATGTGTTATGTGATTCCATACATAAAACACATAGAAAAGTCGAATCTGTACAGACAAAATCTGATTAGTGACTGCCTGGGCCTTGGCTGGAAATAGAGATTGAATGCAGATGGGCATGAGTGATCATTTTTGGGTGAGGGAAATGTTCTAAAACTGGCTAGTGGGAATGATTGTATAGCTCTGGAAAATTATGAAAAATAATTAAATTGTACATTCAAAAAATGTGAAATTTAACAGCATGTAAATGACACTTCAGTAAAGATGTTTTTAAAAATAAAAAGGGAAATAAAAATAAAGAATTATTTAGAACATTTATCAGAAAAAGTATTCATCCTATAATTTTGTAGATATTGAAAAGGATAAAATGGGATTGTTTAATGAAGAAAACTTCACTGTAATTCAAAAATATCTCTGTGTATGTGTGTGTGATTAATAGTTTTATGCTAACATGCTATTACTCATACATTTGTACAGTAGTACTGCTAGTTAAATAATGGAAAACCTCTTAAGAATAATTATAAACTAGAGTGGGTTATTTTTAAAGTAATGAATTCAGAAGATCTTGTATCATGGTTTGACCACTTACCATCCTTGCCATATAAACATTGAATGGTCAATTAAGCATCCTCCTGAGCTTCTTTTCCGGGTTAGGAGTTAAGTGATTTCTATTATTTTTTAAAAAGTATCTATATACACCAACTATGTACCCCACAAAATAAAAAAATTAAAAAGTTTAAAAATACCTATTTATCAAAATGAAATTGCTCATTTTTCTTTTATCATTTATTGTTCATGGTAAGAAGGATGAAAAATTTGAAAGATACTCTATTCAGAATTAAGTATTCTTTTTCCTTGAATTGTATTTTACTTCTGAAATTAATTCCTGTGAGATGTCAAGAATAGCTGAGAGTTGACATGTGTAACAAAAATGTAATCTTAATGATTTTCTGAGACCCAAAGCCTGCTTTGGAAGGCTTTAGAGGGTATTCTCAAGGTAAGGAGAAGGGATCTGATGCTGAGAGCCCCATCTTGACATAGGTGCAGAACTCATAGCTACAGTACCTGTCCTTGTGTGTCAGAAGACTATGGAGGAGTCATATGTATTACTTCATTCTCCCACTGCTATAAGGACACACCTGAGACTGGGTAATTTAAGAAGGAAAGAGGTTTAGTTTACTCACAGTTCCACAGGGCTGGGGAGCTCTCAGGAAACTTACAATCATGGTGGAAGGAGAAGCAAACATGTCCTTCATATGGCAGCAGGAAGGAGAAGAATGAATGTCTAGTGAAAGGGGAAGCTCCTTATGACACCACCAGATCTCATGAGAACTAACTCACTATCATGAGAACAGATTTGGGGAAACTGCCCCCATGATTCAATTATCTCCACCCAGTCCCTCCCATGATATGTGGGGGTTATGGAAACTAGAATTCAAGATGAGATTTGGGTGGGGACACAGCCAAATCATATCACCATGTAATTTGACATCTCTCATAAACTGTGCCTTCCCTTTGCAACTACCACTCTATCTCTGCTTACCTAATTTTTCAAAAAGTGAAAATAATCCATCTTATCAGGAACCTTTCATTATTCCCCTTGGGAGAAGATTTTCATTGTTTTCTTGTTATAATGGCAATCCAGAAATCCCCTAGAAATATATGGTCTATTGAAATGATTCTGGAATTGAGTATTTCACGTGGTACAGTCTATGCCTCCACCTGTCGGTGCTTCCCCTAACATTCTTTTCTTTCTTTTTTTTTTTTTTTTTGAGACGGAGTTTCGCTCTTGTTACCCAGGCTGGAGTGCAATGGCGCGATCTCGGCTCACCGCAATTTCCACCTCCTGGGTTCAGGCAATTCTCCTTCCTCAGCCTCCCGAGCAGCTGGGATTACAGGCACGCACCACCGTGCCCAGCTAATTTTTTGTAATTTTAGTAGAGACGGGGTTTCACCATGTTGACCAAGATGGTCTCGATCTGTTGACCTTGTGATCCACCCGCCTCGGCCTCCCAAAGTGCTGGGATTACAGGCTTGAGCCACCGCGCCCGGCCCACATTCTTTTCTTAAGCTGATGAACTTGCATGTCGAATGTGTGTGCTTTGGTGACTTTCTAACATCAACAATACATATTTCTTAAAAAATTGATAGGTAAATATACCTTAACTTTATAGTGAAAGGGCACATTATCAAAATTGGGTAGTACATCTATTTTATTAAGTTTTTTAGAATTCTATAAGAATAGGAGAGTATTTTCCTGAGCTGAAACTATTTTGTATGCAATTTTCTGGCAATTTTCTATTATGTATAGATACACTGTATACAATGAGTAAGAATAGCAGATTCAGCTAAATTCTTGCTAGGATAACGTAACAGAGCCCATCAGTCACTATGCTTTAATTGCTGAAGTTAACAGCCACCTAAGGCAGGAATAAATTATGCCCAATTGTTAAGGGCAATTATATGCCTTATCACCTGGTCAGCAACAAGAGACTGGAATATATGGAACATTAATCTGTATGTGAGCAGCCGTTCTAATGTCCCTTCCAGAAAGAAAGTGAGAGACCTCTTGGCCTACCTTGTCAATCATCAGCAAATTAAAAACAGCCTAACTGGCATATTCTGTGTTTATGTATTAGAGATCTTTTTATTTTAGGGAAGATTAGTGTAGATAATACATGTGCATTATCTTTAAAACCAATCAAAGTTTTAGAGCCTTTACACTCCAAATTTTCTCATGCTCTGTAACTGAAGCCTTTTAGGGAAAATGGGGCTTAAACAAAGGAGATTTTACAAGTCATATAGACCTTTATTCTTTATTTTCTTATATTTGCTTGCTTAATTTTGCATTTCAGCCTTGATCCTAAGAACATAAGAAACTGATTAAAAATATAACTAAACAAATACATATTTTAGGAATGATGGCAATACATATTTGCTTTTATATATATATTTTAGGAAGGATGAAAACATATAGGTAGGAAAAAATGATGAACCCAAGGAGGTTAGTTGCTAAATTTATTAACGAAAGTTCTGTATGTTTTCTAAGTTTTCAAATTGTAGTTTAGAAAGTTTACCATAAACTGACGTGATTTTACAGTAGCAAAAGCAAGGATAGAAATGATTCATACTGTCTTTGTGACAAAAACAATCAGATGATGGGAGAAACACAGTATCTAATATTGCTACTGGAAAGACATTCATCATGAAGAAACCATTGTGCTATGCAGTGAATAGCATCATCAATAGCATTCTTATCTATGAATACTGAGAGCATCCTGACTTTCTTTTCTTTTTATTTCTTATAACATCACTCAGTCAGGACATGGTACAGTACCAGAAAGTTGCTAGGTCAAATAATTGGTTCTTGGGGACGTTGGGAAGGTATACCATGTTTCTGATGTGCTATAAGGGAAAGGACTGACAGGAAGGACCTCAGTGATGCATGTTGGCTAAATATTATAAAGAAAATATGAGCTCAGGGAAGGACTGGCTGTTTACCATGCAGGAAAGACTGTGTATTACATGGATTGGAGCTGAATCTAGGGGCTGAGTGACCTTCATATTGACCCCTTTGGAAAGAATGAGTTCTTGTAAATGTTTGTGAGGAAGAGCCAAGTGGGTATTTGAATATGAGAAATGTGGACTGTGGAAGAAACTGGCAAGATAATCCCCAATCACATTCTTGTTTCTAAACATATGGGAAGAGCAGCATGTTGCAATCTCCTATGCAGGTAGATTATAGCCATGGGATTAGTTCCGGACAGTGGAATATAGCAAGAGGTAATAGGTATATTTTCTAGGTGTTGGCCCTGAAATATTTTGTGTGAGCCTATGCAAGCACCTCCTTTCTCCTGTTTCTGTTGTCGATATCCTTTAAGGTGGGCACAGATGAAAGAAGCCTGGATCACTGAGAAACCATAGAGAAGGGGATAAACAACCAATGCAAATCCAATTGCAATGTGAGCTGGAGGGGGTTACCTTGACTAATACTGGTAATTGAAAAAATAGTTGTACTATGAAGAAATGAACGAGAGGCAGAATTTATCAATCCTCATGTAGTTTATTATCACTATTTAGTCTAATATTATCGATCACATTTTTTATGTACAGTGTTATTTCAAACTTATTTTAAATTTTCTTCCCTCTATCATCATCGCAGTTTTATGTGGTCTCAATATTTGGAAAGAACACGTGTTTTAAGTGACCTATACAAGTCACATCCTCCATGAAATTATCTGCTTTTTTTAAAAGTACAGATTGACTTGGTAGGTTTTTTGATGGTGTCAATTGTTGCGTTCTATTATTAAATAGTATATATTATATTACATTTGTATTTTCCTTCATAACAATCCATTTCATCAACATTTTCAAGCTTATTTGCACAGACGTTAAGCAATGTATTGCTGCCACATGGTATGTGATGAACACTGACTGGAAAGACCCGCCTTTGCTGTTTTTGGATGGTGTCTCACTCTGTCACCCAGGCTGGAGTGCAGTGGTGTGATCTCAGCTCGTCGCAACCTCTGCCTCCCGGGTTCAAACGATTCTCCTGCCTCAGCCTCCTAAGTAGCTGTACTACAGGCTACTATAAGAGCCACCACACCCAGCTAATTTTTGTATTTTTAGTAGAGACAAGTTTCCTGTGTTGGCAGGGCTGGTCTTGAACTCCTGACCTCAGGTAATCCACCCGCCTCGGCCTCCCAAAGTGCTGTGATTACAGGCGTGAGCCACCACATCCAGCTGCCATTTTTTAAATCTGTATAAAATTGGTAGGCCACTTGAATCCTGTAGTGACTGAAAATGTCTTTCTTCCTTAGTTTCTTCATTTTTTATAAATAAGGGTAACATGAATAATCTATCATGTTTATTATGAAATTAAATATACCTGTAAAGTGCTTAGAACCCAGTAAAAGTTTACTATATTTTAAGTAGTATTATTATGCTTGACATCTGTGCTGGTTTTTCTATTTGTGTGATTTGTTGTATACATTTGCTCTTTCTCCACTAAAAAATACGTATCTACATATCTTTATGTGTATATACGTTTGTATGTGTTTGTATTGGAGTCACTTCCCGTTCCCATGGCTGCTTGTCTAGCCAGATGGGAAGCACTTCTTTCACAGCCTGTGGCAAATGGTGGATGTAGGGGTATGTTGAGGGGGGAAGATGCACAATGTTTGGTTTGCCTGGCTGTTCCTGTTATGGGTTCCTTATTGATTCCCACTGATCTTGGAATCCTTGAATTGGGAAGGATATTCTTTTGGTAGAGCAGACGGAAAGAGAAATAGGAGAATCTGACAAAGATGAACTACACTTAGGGTGAACTACACTTAAGTTTTAGAATCGCAATAGCATAAATTCTTAAGGTGCGTGTTAGAGAAAGAGTCACTGGAAAGAAGAGAGTATAAGATACTAAGACTGGCCGAGTGCAGTGGCTCATGCCTGTAGTCCCAGAACTCTGGGAGGCCAGGGCGGGTGTATCACTTGAAGCCAGGAGTTCAAGACCAGCCTGGACAACACAGTGAAACCTTATCCTACTAAAAATCCAAAAATCAGCCAGGCATGGTGGCGTGTGCCTGTAATCCCAATTACTCCAGTGGCTGAGGCAGGAGATCATAGGACCTGGGAGGCAGAGGTTGCAGTGAGCCAAGATTGTGCCACTGTACTCCAGCCTGGGTGACAGAGGAAGACCCTGTCTTAAAAAAAAAAGATATTAAGTTCTAGGGTGATGGGTTTGGATTATTGATATTTTAAGTATAACACATTTAATGAACCACAGTCTTTGTTGAGAAATTAAAGAACACAGTCAAAGTCTTACATATCACTACTAATGCTAAATGTAAATGAGCTAAACACTCATTTAAAAAACATGAGTGACAAGTTGCTTAAAAAGACAAGACCCAACCATCTATTGTCTTCAAGAGAACCATTTGACATGTAGCCACACCATCCGGATCAAAGTAAAGGTTGAAGAAAGATCTGCTATGCAAATGGAAAACAAAACAAAACAAAAAGAGTAAGGGTCACTCTTCCTGTGTCAGATAAAATGGCCTTTAAATGTTTAAAAATGAAGCAGGAAAAAGTAGGTCACTATGTAATGATAAAGGGTTCAAGTCAAGAAGAAGGCTTAACTCTCTTAAGTATAAACACATCCAACATTGAATATTCAGATTCATAAAACAAGTTCTTTGTGACTTACAAAAAGACTTAGTCACACAATAATGGTGGGAGACTTTAACACCCCGCTGACAGTGTTAGAGAGATCATTGAGGCAGAAAACTAACAAAGAAACTCTAGACTTAAATTTGGACTTGACCATTGTGACATAAGAAACATCTACAGAACACGTCACCCAACGACCATACACATTCTCATCTGCACACAGAGCATATTTTAAGATTGACTAATGATTGAGTCATAAAATAAGTCTCAATAAATTAAAAAAAATCAAAATTATATCAAACCCATTCTTGGACCACAGGGCAACAAAAATAGAAATTGATATCGAGAAGTCCTCTCAAAACTACACAAATACATGAAAGTTAAACAATTACTCCTCTATAACTGCTAGGAAAACATCAAAATTCATGCCTCCTATTTCAAAAAATTCCTTGTAATTTATGAAAATAGGGACACAACTCACCAAAATCTCTGGGATGCAGCTAACTCGGTGTTAAGCAGGAAGTTTATCATGCTAAACATCTTCATCAAGAAGCGAGACAGGTCTCACATTACAATCTATCTTTGTACCTAAAGGAACTAGAAGAAAAAGAATGAACCAATCCCAAAACTAGCAGAAGAAAAGAAATAACTAAAATTAGAGAAGAACGGAATGAAATTGAGACAGAGAAATCCATACCCACTCACTTGCTATGGAAGCAACATACAATTCGCCGTTTACAAAGATTTAGAAAAACCTAAATTATCGTTCTTAAAACTTATTTTGTTCTTTTAAAAAAATCCTTCATTTAATAAGCCTCTTTACCCCTTTAACTCTGTGGACCAAATCAGAGGTGTATTGACCCATCACTGTTTATTGTGTATATTTTATCTGAGGCATTGCAACATGCTCTAATTCTATAGATAAAATGCAAAGTCCCTTAAAACATAAATACAAGAATAATTTAGTGAGTTATATGAATTTATATTTCTAGTATTATATAAATGTTTTAAATATCATAGGAAGAATTTTACTAGGGTAATATGTTGCATGTTACATTTCTATACCAAGACACATTAGTTGCCTGGGAATTGAAGTACAGTTATGCAAGAGATAGAGCTTTTCTTTCCCAGTAAAATAAACAGTTATAGAAAAAATGTTTTCTGAACGCTTTGTTCATAATATGACAGGGATTTGTTTAGACTGTTTAATAATACTTTTTATTTTGTTTGTGCCTTAAAAATATAAATTGAATTGCTTTAGTGTTTTATTCCTTTGAATTCTGTTAAACATGTAAAAATGCAAAACAGTAAAATCCAATAAAAGACAAGTACATTGAAAAGACAAATCAGCAAAATTGACAAAAACCAGAAAATCATAGTATACCTAATTTAGTAATACAATTAAATACATTATCAAAAACCTCTCTCAGAGAAAACTGCAGTCACATATGATTTCACTGAAGAATTCTATTTAACCTATAATGAAGAATTAATACTAAATTATACAATTTTCCAAAAGACAGAAGGAAAAAATATTTCTCAATTTCTTATATGAAACCTCATAACCTTGGTACCAAAACCAAATAAACATGTACAAAAATATTAAAGACCAACATTTCTCCAAAACACAGAAACAAAAATCTGTTACAAAAAGTAGTAAATTGAATCCAGAAATGTATAAAAAATACTGTATCATGACCAAGAGGGTGTACATTTGAAGGCATATAAGATTGTTCTGACATTAAAAATCATTTGAAGTTGAAAAAATCACTTAGGGCTATGAACTATAAAAAACACACATAATTCAACAAGATGCTATTTAAGTAAAAGCACATGTATGAAACATGTGAAGAAAAGAAGAGAATGATAAACTTAAAATTATAGATAGTGGTTACCTCTTTGGGGAATCAGGGGATAGGAAAATGAAGAGGCACACGGTTGATGCAATGTTGTTGTCAATAGCCTACTTCTTGGCGTGTGTGTTGGGATCACGAGTTGTTGGTTATTATCATACTTGATGACTTGTGATAACTTGCATATTTGTGGCATATATTTTCATATATATCAAATATCTCTTAAATTTAAAGAAATTTGTATAAAGAATAGAAATTCTACAAATTAAACTCATTTTAAAACTGATAGAAGTAAAATACAAATTTGTCTTGTATTTCAACCTGTTACTAAGTTCAATACCAAGTTAAAACGTTTTAATGTTATATTTGGCGATAAAAAGAAATGTGTTCTCTTGGTTGGGCTGGATAGCTGTATTGCTGAAACAGCTGGTTTTATGCTTAGAAAATTATTACTGTAAGAAATATACATTCTGTGCTCTCAGAAATGTTTTTTACCTTTAAGTATTTGGTAAGTTTGATTTTTAAGTGAGGCTAGCACTGTTGGCTGGCTATTTTAACAGAGCCAGAAATAAAGAAATCCAGGCAAAGGGTGAAGAATTGTGGCACTAACTCTAATGGGCAACCCTGCAACATGTTTCTTAGTGGGAAGAGAAATGTTGGTAGAAAAAAGGTGAATTAGAGCTATGTCCAACTATCAAGTAATGGAGATTTTTATAGAGATATGTTATTATTTTCGATTACAAGAAATATAAGAAATTATTAATGTTAATGAGATATTCTAAAAACTTTTTCATACTAAGTCTTTGAAATCTAGCATGTATTTTACACTTAAAGCACATATTAATTTGGTCTAGCCGCAGTTTAACTTCTTAATAGCCATGTGACTACCATACCGGATGCACAGCTGTAGCTACAGCAACCTCAGTTAAACTTGTTACAAGCAACCAACGTGGACACACTTATGCCAAAGTTAAAGATTGAATGAGATCAATTAGTTTATGATTTTGAGCTATTTATCTGTGTGTCTATCTCAGAGATCTATCAGATTGTGTAAATCACTGCTTTTGAAATGAGGTTTGTAGATTAATCTGTTAGCTAATAAAGAGGGATGGGTCCTACAGGCTGATGTTCCATCTGGATTGACTGGTAGGGAAAACAAGCAGCAACCCAAGGGAAATTGGCAAAGATAAATAAGATAGAAATTCCAAGAGCAACACTGGACACAGCCAAGGCAGCAGGTTGGAGTCATATCAATTTTAGGAAGACAGGAATATTAAACACAAAAAGAATTTAGCAGCTGTAAAAAGAACTTCTGGGCAAAGAGTGTAGGTAGAGTTTAACCACAACAGTGAGGATGATATCTAGAATGACTCAGTGTTGGCAAGCAAATAGTGCATCTCCTCATTCTGTGTCCCCAAAATGATTTGTATATGACATATTTCCCCTCCATTTTTCTGTATTCATTAATATTTTATTTCGAGAAGAAGGTAATTTTAATTAGAGTTAAATAGAAATTAAAATCAAATGGTCTTTTTAATATGTTGATCACTTACATTGCCTACTGAGATTAGAATGTTGAGTCTTATAACTAAATTTCTAATAGGTTTATTTTTCTGCTTAGAATGTTGTGTAGATTATCTCTTGCTTGGCTCTGTTATTATTTGAAATGAGATCATAGAGAATGTTGTTAGCAGAGTTTCTATTCCCATGCACTAATCAAGGTACATTAATCGTGATAATTGACCCAGGCTTAGTATTGTTCCTCCCTCTAGTTAATTAGAGATATAGTCATATAGTTATCATGACTAGATAAAAGAAGTAGAATGCACTAATTGAATGATGATTTTGAATATTAGAGACTCAGTACATAATACATAATCATGATTGGCTATTTGAGATAAAAGTCTGTGTTTACTTGAATTTTTCCATAAACAGGATTTGCGGTACTAAAAGTTAAAATAAATATTCTCAAAATCAACTCACATTCTTGTAATTAAAATAACCTGGGTCTCTAGTCTCACAGTATTCAAGGTAGTTACATAGCTAAATAATGGGCTTAGAGTGACTGGTTTCTCTCTTTCTAACTTTTTCTGAAATAAAAGAAAGTACACGTGTCTTAATAGTGTCATGAAGGGTACAGTTAATTCTTCCTTAATAATTTGAATGAAAGATCAATTTAATAGGGTAAAGAAAGAATCATACCTTTCCTTTTGCCATTTTAACTTCAAACAAGGGTAATTGATGAAAATAAAAAAGCTATCATCACTCTTATAGTAAAATCCTTTAAGTGACTTTCTTTAACTGATTTCAAATAAAATAAAAACAAAGAAATGGCTTGAGGATCAGAGTTATAAACTGCTCAGTGAAAGGTTTTTTAAAAGCTCAGCTACTGTCTCTCAGGATTTATTAAAAAAACGGAACTGGATATATGTAAAATATTATACTGCACAATATAGAGCTGTATCTGCAGAAATGAATATACTGACTTTCCTTCACTTTTACCAACCTCTTTTTCTATGGTTACAAAATTGATTTCTGATCATGATGTTAATTAGTCTGATGAGAAAATAAAACATACATTATATGTTTCTTCTTTTTAACTAAGCTTTTATTTTGAGATAATTATAGATTCACATGAAGTTGTAAGAAATAATATCCCATGTAGATGTGTGGTATTAATTCTGAGGCCTCTGTTCATTGGTCTATATCTCTGTTTTGATACCAGTACCATGCTATTTTGGTTACTGCAGTCTTGTAGTATAGTTTGAAGTGAGGTAGAATGATGCCTCCAGCTTTGTTTTTTTGGCTTAGGATTGTCTTGGCTATGCAGGCTCTCTTTTGGTTCCATATGAAGTTTAAGGTGGTTTTTTCCAGTTCTGTGAAGGTCAATGATAACTTGGTGGGGATAGCATTGAATCTATAAATTACTTAGGCCATTTTCATGATATTGATTCTTCCTAACCATGAGCATGGAAGGTTTTTCCATCTGTTTGTGTCCTCTCTTATTTCCTTGAGCAGTGGTTTGTAGTTCTCCTTGAAGAGGTCCTTTACATCCTTTGTCAGTTGTATTCCTAGGTATCTTATTCTCTCTGTGGCCATAGTAAAAGGTAGTTCACTCATGATTTGGCTCGCTGTCTGTTACTGGTATATAGGAATGCTTGTGATTTTTGCACATTGATTTTGTATATATACTGAGACTTTGCTGAAGTTGCTTATCATCTTAAGGAGATTTGGGGCTGAGATGATGGGGTTTTCTAAGTATGCAAGCTTTGACAAACCTGACAAAAAAAAGCAATGGGGAAAGAATTTCCTGTTTAATAAATGGTGTTGGGAGAACTGGCTAGCCATGCGCAGAAAGCTGAAACTGGACCCCTTCCTTACACCTTATACAAAAATTAACTTCAAATGGATTAAAGATTTAAACATAAGACCTAACAGCATAAAAAACCTAGAAGAAAACCTATTCAGGACGTAGGCATAGGCAAGGACTTCGTGACTGAAACACCAAGAGCAATGGCAACAAAAGGCAACAAAAGCCAAAATAGACAGATGGGATCTAATTAAACTTAAGAGCTTCTGCACAACAAAAGAAACAATCATCAAAGTGAACCAGCAACCAACAGAATCGGAAAACATTTTTGCAATCTACCCATCTGACAAAGGGCTAATATCCAGAATCTACAAAGAACTAAAACAAATTTACAAGAAAAAAGCAAGCAACCCCATCAAAAAGTAGGTGAAGGA